TCAGGTTTGTGTTCGTTCTCAAATCTGTATTTGTCACTTAAGATATATTATTTTATAATTAAAGCAGTATGGCATGAAAAAAATTATTTAAAATAAGATTATGAACAAAAGAGTTGGCGATGAGCATGTTAAATGAAATTTCATGAATAGAGCTTTTATGATAAAATGCACTTATTACATGCATTTTCCTAATAGTAACTTATTAAAAATTGCTGACTTATGGAGTTATACTTTGTGTTAGTCTACTCCTGTATTATAGAGAAAATAGTCATCAGATAGCCAATTATCAGTGGTGAGATACAAGACGAAGGAGTTGGCAAGTTCCTGGAAAGAGCAAATTAAATTATTCATCCAAATACTTATTGAACAAAAAAGAAATAGTCTACGTATGGAATTTATAAAGTAAAATTGTCATTCTATGAAGCAAGTTTTGTGTGAACCAGAAAACAATTTAGGGGAAAATAAACCTACACATAATTTGATATGACTTTTAGATGGTAGTCATACAAAATACCACAAAATGATGTCAAATTAACAAAAACTTTGGCCATTTGATCTTCGACAAAGGCACCAAGCCTGGGGTCGGGACTGCCTCAGTCCCCACTGGGGTCGGGACTGCCTCTTCAGCAAAGGGTGCTGGGATAACTGGATATCCATATGCAGGAGAATGAAACTAGACCCATACCTCTCACCATGTACTAAAATCAAAATTGGGTTGCTTGTTTTTCTCTTGTAAAGTTGTTTGAGAAATTGGGTTGCTTGTTTTTCTCTTGTAAAGTTGTTTGAGAATTGGGTTGCTTGTTTTTCTCTTGTAAAGTTGTTTGAGAATTGGGTTGCTTGTTTTTCTCTTGTAAAGTTGTTTGAGAATTGGGTTGCTTGTTTTTCTCTTGTAAAGTTGTTTGAGAATTGGGTTGCTTGTTTTTCTCTTGTAAAGTTGTTTGAGAATTGGGTTGCTTGTTTTTCTCTTGTAAAGTTGTTTGAGAATTGGGTTGCTTGTTTTTCTCTTGTAAAGTTGTTTGAGAATTGGGTTGCTTGTTTTTCTCTTGTAAAGTTGTTTGAGAATTGGGTTGCTTGTTTTTCTCTTGTAAAGTTGTTTGAGAATTGGGTTGCTTGTTTTTCTCTTGTAAAGTTGTTTGAGAATTGGGTTGCTTGTTTTTCTCTTGTAAAGTTGTTTGAGAATTGGGTTGCTTGTTTTTCTCTTGTAAAGTTGTTTGAGGAGGGAGTTTTCGGTGATGGGACATAATAATCAACTACATTGTATATTGACAAAATAAAAATTAAAAAAAACACACAAACAAATAAAGGCTCAGGGGGGATGAAGACACAACAAAAAAAAAAACCCAAAAACTTTGAATGGTGCACCAAAACAAACAACAACAAAAACCAAACAAAAAAACCAAAAACCAGCAAACACAAAGGGATGGCAGAGTTAAGGCATCTTAGAGAAAGAAAATCTAGGTTTAACTTGTTAAAATATTTTCCAGTATTTAAAAGAAAAGATCATTTCAAAACAACTGAAAAAGAGGCAATTTGTTTTAAATGCCTGCATGGTATTTAAATGCACACACTGTGCAAGCATCATTCTGATGTTAGTCAAGGGCAATAAAGTGGCTTGCCCGCCAGCCCAGAGGTTGCACATGGCGGTAGAGATCCTCCCAAGTATCTTTATCCTACACTAGGTTGTGACCCACAGGATATGCAGCTGTCACAGACATGGCAGTTATCAAAAGGGGACCAGAGTATGCAATTCGCATTGTTTAGGGGACACTCCAGATGTTCATGCTTATATTTTATCATAAACACTGGAGAATTTTGATCTTTCTTTTGAGCCATTCTCCCTTCCTTCCTTTAGTTACAGAATCTTCTGAATGTTCTAATAGTTCACTGAGTGTAAGAGCATAGAAACATGTTCTCGGCTTTTGGTCTTGGTTTTTAAATATGTCCACGGATTTGATGAACTGCTGTTATCAGTGCTTTTGTGTAATCCTCTCTTCTTAAGTGTGAACAGAAACTGTAATTTTTCTCTAACAAATGGAATATAGCACATGTGATGGGATTTTGCTTTCGTAATTATATTAAATAAGATTGTAATGTCTTAGTAAGAGACTCTTTTTAGCTGCTTTCAAACTGCCTCAAACCAGCTTGGGAGCGCCGCGGCGCTCCTGCCGAGGGTTCGGATCCCATGTGGAGACCGGTTCCCACTCACTGGCTGAGTGCGGTGCGGGCGCAACACTGAGGGTTGCGATCCCGTTACCGGTCAGTTAAAAAAAAAAAAAAAGACAAAAAAAAGGAAAAAAAAAAAGATTTCACAGGAGACTCCAGCCCAGACAAAGACCCTGCTTGCAGCCTTGTGTCAAATCCAGACACACAGAACCCAGATTTCTGAACCACAGAAATTGTGGTGTGATTGATATGTGTTGCTTTAACCAGCTAAACTGATATGAATTTGTTATTAAGCAATAGAAAACTAACCAACTGGCCAACTCCTCGAATATAGATTCCATAGTTTGGATGTGTCCCCCCAAAAGCAAGTGTCAGAAACTTAATCCCAGTGCAACCGTGTTGAGAGGCAGGGACTAATGAGAGGTAATCAGGACTCTGTACTCATGCATGAATTAATGACGTTATCATGGGAGCAGGCTAGTTATCACAGGAATAGTTTCCTCATTTGAGGACGAGTTTATCTGCCCTTTTTCTCTCTCTTCCCCCTCCCTTTCTGCCATGGGATGGCACAGCAAGACGGCCCTCACCAGATGCTGGCACCTTGATCTTTGACTTTCCAGCGTTCAGAACTGTGCAGAAATAAACTTCTCTTCTTTATAAATTACCCAGTCTCAGGTATTCTATTATAGCACAAAAAGAACTAAGTCTCCCATATCATGTTCAGCCAGAGGGCCAACTAAGCCACGTAAAGATTCTTTTTAAAATTATTTTTAATCGATGCATATATTTATGAAGTACAATGTGATACTTACATACATGTACACAATTTGTTAGCATATCCATCACCTCAAACGTCTTTCATTTCCTTGTGTTGTGAACATTCAGAATCCTCTCTTCCAGCTATATAAAATTATGCAATAAACTTTTGTTAATTGTAGTCACCCTACGGTGCTATAGAACACTAGAAATTATTCCTCCTGCTTAGCTGTGGTTTTCTATCAGCTGACCAACATTTCTCTATCCCCTTTTCCCACCTACCCTTCTCAGCATCAAGTAACCACTATTCTACTTTACTTCTATGAAAACCACTTTTAAAAAAAATTCCACATATGAGTAAAGTCATGCAGTATTTGTCGTTCTGTGATGATCTCTAGTTGCATCCACGTTGCTGTAAACGATAGGATTTCGCTTTTTTAATAACTGAATAGTATTCCGTTGTGTATATATAGCACAGTTTTGTTTGTTTTGTCTGTTTGTTCTTATCCATTTATCTGCTTTTTGGGTTTTTTTTCAGTTTGGTTTTTTTTTTTTTTTTTTTGTTTTTTTGTCTTTTTTCGTGACCGGCAACGGATCGCAACCCTCAGTGTCGTGCCCGTACCGGACCGGGACCAGCAACGGGATCGCAACCCTCGGCGTTGCCCCCGCTCCTCGCCCAGCCAGTGAGCGGCCGGTCTGTATGTGGGATCCGAACCCTCGGCGGGAGCGCCGCCACGCTTCCCAAGCGGCGCACTGTAGCAGTGCGCCACTGGGCCGGCCCTCAGTTTGGTTTTTTATTTTATTTTATTTTACTTTATCAGTATATAATGTAGTTGAATTTTGTGTCCCTTTACCGATTCCTTCCTCCCCCAACTCTCTCCCCCCTCCCACCCATCAACATCACATCTGTTCACTTGTCCTAACAAGTTCAAGGAATTGTGATTGTTGTGTCTTCTTTCCGCCCCCCATTTGTTTGTGTACTTATTTATTTTTAGCTCCCACAAATAAGTGAGAACATGTGTTATTTCTCTTTCTGTGCATTTACATTTATCTGTTGATGAACATTTTGGTTGATTCCATTTCTTGGCTATTGTGAATAGTGCAATAAACGTGAGAGTGCAGGTCTTTTGGTAAATAAATGCTACTTCATTTTAGTTTATATGTCCTTAATTTCCAATGGATTCATATAGTTTTTCATTAGTCATGTGACTTTGGGGGGAAATTATATGCTGTGCTTTCTGACTACTTTAATATTGAATTGCATATACTTTTTCATGGACATTTATAAGAATTATACATATTAAATATATAAGCATTTTGAAAACTGTTCATTTGTCTTTGCACTTTATTTTGGCAATATCTTACAATATTTTTAAATGTCTCATTATCTTTTTTTACATTTGAACACAGAAACTTACAATAATTGTTTAATTATTCCATTTAACTTTTTATATACATATATATATATATATTTTTGGTTTAAGGTATGACATCAAGTTATTAGTCATTTATTTCAAAATAGTTAGCTAATTCTATTTATTATGTAACCTTTTATTTGGACCAGTAATTTATGATGCCCAAATTATCATATTTTACAAGTTATATGTGCCACTGTCTCTTGGTAGACTTCTTTTGATTGGTAAATGCATCTGCCATTACTGTTTTGCCTACTGCAGCTTATTCCAGCTTATACCAGCCTGCCCCACCCTTACTCCATGAACCTCGTTTTTCTGAATCATCTTGTTTATTATTAATTTCTAGATAATTTTGGAACTACTTTTCAAGTTGTTCCAAAAGAGAGTGATTCTTTGTTGTAATTACCCTATCAATTACTCTACCAATACATTTGGGAGGAATCAATGTTTTTAAACCTATTTTATCTCCCCTTCCAGAACATGGTAGGTATCTACAATTATACAAATATTCTGTCATGATTCCTTTTAAAGTATTATGATTTTCTTCATATTTCTTATTAAGATTAATCATAGGGGTTTTACATGCAGTGATTAAGTACCACAATTGTACATGGGATCCGTTTTTTCAAGATGGCTCTTTGATTAGCAATCAGCTCCTAGAATTCCTTAAAACTGTGTCACTTTGATGAAGGTGTCTTCCTGCTTTGCTTTTCTTGAGCTTTTCTTCCTGGGAGAAATACAATGAAAACCACAAACAAATAAACACAAACAAGAAAGGATATGGAGAAAGCAGATATCTCCCCCATTTTTAGAGCAAGGTGATTCTTTGCCCACCAGCTCTCCTAAAAACCATGACCCCTGCCCAAGGATTTGTGTAAATCTTCTGAAGTAAAGATCAACCTCCCAGGCAGGATCTGGGAAGGCCGTTTTGATAGTTTACGCTCACCCTTGGACACCATGGCATTGGACAAAGGGATCTTTGGAAAAGACAAGGGAAGTACACAAAAGTTTTTTAAAAACCCTCTCCAATACTTCATTTACCACTCTCTCTTCTCTTTTATCAACTCTTTCATTTCCAGTGAAAACCAGATGGTCTGAATCTCAACACAGCAAGACATCTTCCCCTGAGATATATTGTCATTTGTTGGAGAGGCTCTAGTCCTGAACATATTCTTCCCCAGGTTGTTCAGTGACCAGAGAAGTCCTCACACCTACAGGCACTGGCAGTCACAGACAGCTTCACTCGCTGGGCTGTGAGGTATCAAGGTCTGGGGGGTGAGAATCTGGTGTTTGCATCTGTGCATATTTGTGAACTACATTAAGGGATATGTAATTCACACTCAGGCAGGGAGGGCAGAAAAGACCTCATTTTGGCCACTTAATCACTATGCCTACTGGTACAGGCTGGGCAGAAGTGGTCTATACGATCTAGAGAGCCTCGAGAGATGTCTGAGGTCACTGTGGGAAGGGATGAGGCTGTACCTAAACCAAAGGCACTAACCACATGGAAATAGCCTAGGTCTAAGCCTGCCAGGGTGACAGTGGCCCTGAATGGTGCTTTGTCTTCCTCACCACAGTCCTATAGCACACAATTCCCCTAAGGAAATGCTAGGGGATTTACTCACTCATTTTCCACATCTTGGAAAGTGTCAGGCAGAGGCTGATTCCTGGTCTCAGGAAGGAGGAGAACAACAAGGGCAGCCAGGATGGAGAAGGCTCCATAGATGACCCAGGGCAGGTGTGGAGAGTACACCGTCAGCATCATCAAGAGGGGAGCCAGGGCTGCCCCAATATTACCAGCAATTCCAGTGATCCCTGCAGCTCGTGACCTCAGAGTACAAACAGCAATACAAAAATTATTTGGTAAAAATGAACACACATATTTTGTGATTTACTGTTTTGCTTTGATTATGGAGACACCACAGGAGAGTGTTTAGATACAGGCAGATTGACAACATACTTAAGCATTGAAATAAGCTCTCTTATTTGAAAACAATATTTTTCAAGTGTGCAAGTGCATTAAAATGCATTTTTATTATTTTACTGAAAATAATGTACCCACCCTTTAAGTGATTCATAAGAGTATATGACATGACATATTAAAGGCAAAAAGTCAGCTTTAAATAAGTTTAGTCTATAATTTTTGTTATCGTTCATATTATCACGATTAATGTTTCTGATAACTAGCCAGTCTCAATTTTGTTCCCTCTATAAGTTTCAATTACTGGAAAGGTCTCTTGACCCTGATAGAGCTTCCATGGCATTTTGTACCTGATTGCAGTGGGGATTAGTTCATTTTCATGGGTGACAGAACTGATGACTGCTGCACTAGAAACTCCTACTCCAAAAGTTGACAAAGCTACACGCAGGGTCTGCATTTCTGGAGAGAGAAAGACCAGTGAGAGATTCAGGAAATCGGAGCTGCAGAAATAACAATCCTCCAAATTACGAGTGGAAAAGATCCTATTGGAGATGTTTGAGGTGTAAAATAATATTGTGGAGAAACTGTACAGAGGCAGAGACTATGCAGTAGCTGATAGCTGGGAAATATGACTTATCTACACACGTCGTGACTTCAATAGTGAATCAAAGAATCTGAACTAGTGGTTTTACTGTCTCTACATATCAGAGATTTGCTGAAGATGGAGAGGGAAATGTGATTCCAGCAGGAGTTTTCTTTCATTTATTCTGCCAGTGACTCCTCTGCCCTTCATGTAGAATGTAAGACTGTCATGTGGGAAATTACTGAGAAGTAAGACTCATCTCTGCCCTGGAGGAGTCTAAAACCTGAGTGCAAACACAATAATTAGATGGGGCTAGGACTGTAGAAGATAGTAATAAAAAGAAGGGACTTTTATATTAATGGACAAGCTTGAGAATAGCTTGACCAAGAATAATGTTGAAGAACCCAGAATAAGGCCCTTTACTAGGGAAAAAAAGTTTAACTTTGTAAATCTCTGAAAGGAAATTTCAGAGAGTCAGTTTTCCAACCAATTAAAAGAAAACATCTCATGAGAGCTTTAGAACATTGGAGGGGCTCTGTTGCAAGACAGAAAACTGACATCCCTGCTGACATTGAAGAGGGGTGGGGTTCACCAACCTGGGATCCTGTTCAATACATGACTACACTGGGAGTTAGGTGAAGCATGGTGACCACCTGGGTTTCCCTCTTCATTGCATATAATCATTTAATTTATTAAAATTGATTGTAAGAGAGAGTCTTAACTTCTTAATGCCTTGTTCCTACTGTACACTCCTTCTCTGCTTGAAGGCAAAATACTCTTATTTCCTTAACGTCAAGATGACTCTTCTAAACCGTGGTTTCCATAATGGTGACCTAACATGAGGCACATGAGTAGATACTTAGAGATCAGAGAATACATTGTCACTGAAGCTGTGGTAATAAGAAAGAACCCAGATCAAGGAAGTGACAATATTGTCTCCTCATACGTGATACAATGACATACAATGGACACAATAGTTCCATACAAAATTACAAGTTTGATTGGCTGAAGGGGCAGTGATCGACTGCTGTCCTCAATAATCTGTCAGGGATAAATAGCACCAGTTTCCAGATACTTCCTGGATGTGATAAAGACAGCCATATGTTTGCACCAACTTTTACTAACTTTTGACTCTTCCAAGGAATTTAATGGCAAAATTTGTCCTAAACCATCTGTTTGCTTTGGGGGAATCATTAAAACTCCATTTTCCCTTTTCTTCAGGCTTCAGACAGGTATGACCAGTACAATAACTTAGGAAGGGGAAAAAGTCATTTTTTTCTTCCACCTGTGATTTTTGTCTCACCTTGAGGCACAAATGTGACGGTCAGAATGCAGATTCCTAACAGGAACATGAAAAGCGTTTGGCTTACTCGACGGCCCATGTGATTCAGTGCCCAAAATGCAACAAAATTGGTTAGGAGAGTAACTACTCCAAAGAGACCCTGGAACAGGAAAATGTTGGTCCCCAAGTGCTGGAGGTGGAGGTTAATGCCAAAAAAGGGCATAAAGATTGCAAATCTGTGGTGAACAAAGAAGAAAGAAACATGTCAGGGGGTTTAAAGCTTATGTCCTACAAATGATGATAATATCTGTGCAGGCAGCTAGTGATTAGTGTTAAAGTATAAAGGCACAGCTTGTTTGGTAGAATATTTTCTAGCATGGTGATGATTTGAAAATTATCATAAAATATTGTATGATGATGGAAATCATAACTGTTACGACGTTTTTTGATTGGCAGGAAGTGTTGTGCAGAATACATGGTGGGGCCTTCTACTGTAGTAAAGCTCTTTGATATTTGATTTGCATGTTGGTTACATATTTACATATTTACAAATCTTCATTGAACAACATACATTTTTTATAGCACATATTTAAGGTGTATAAAATTGTGTTTTGATGTACTTAGACTATAATTAATCATATTGTATTGTAGAGAGTAGATTTTAGATGATCTTAAAAGAATAAGTGAGATGATGGATGTTTATTTTTTTGAGGCTAAACCACTTTTATATTATTTTTTAAATTTTTATTATTTATTATTAGCAATTCATTTCTACAAATCATGATTTTTCTTTATGCCATTTACCCAACCCATCACTCCCCAAACCCCTTCCCTCCCCACCATCTCTAGTATCCTTAGGTTTGTTCTCTCCTTCTGAAAGTTCAGTGTATTGTGGTGGTCTTTTCTTTTTCTTTCTTTTCTTTTCTTTTCTCTTCCCTCCCT